TTCGCTGCACTGCGCGAGATGGATGGCGGGAATAAGTATAATTGCTAGTGAAAGACTATACAAGGTTATTTTTAGTATATACGAAACCTTAAAACTATTTGTTCAGAATCAGTAATAGAATCCATCGCAATATTTTTATATCATGTTACATTTTGACTAAATAATATTTACAAATCCATAATTTACGGACACCTTACTAAAATGTTCTGCGCGTATGGAAAATGTTGTCAAAGCTTAACAAACATTGCGTTGTCAACAACGAAAGTGCCGCGCGCTGTACGATGTCTACACTCGCGTGCGGATAATGGGACAACAAATAAAGCTTGGAACTTCGTGAGTTTTTAAGGTATCTTTTTTTTATACTGATTCTAAAGATTAAAATACGTGACACGCGTCTCGGCTTTCGTATATACAAAAAATAACCTTGTATAAATGAGTAGGTATAGCATAAGACTACGAAGTTCATGGAAAAAGTAAAGTAACTACAGATGTCCTGGAAGATTAGGAACGAAATTCTTATTGCAGAATATTGATTGCTTCGCTTCAACCGATTATCACCAAATTAAATAGTTGTAGAGTTTACTGCGATATAGGTAATGGGGTACATACAGTGTGAAGCTTTCTCCATAAATTAGAATCCCGTTTACTCCTAGTAAATTAGGGATGACCATGCTCTGTCCAGTGGAGACAAATTGATCTGATGATGATGATAGCAACATTGCGACTTTAGTACTGCTAGTAAATGGAGATGAAAATAATGTACTTACCTAGGTAGAAACCCATTCATTGTTTTCCAACATTCTGTGCATGTCGTGGCAACCTTTAATTAAGAGCGTTGTCACATTTTTCATGCAGAAATCGAGAATTTAGCAGATTTCGAAATGATTTTAGTCATATAATTTATTGTTATAGCTTCTTTTGACTTATATCATCGTAATTATCATACGTTTTTGCGGAATGTCTATTGACAAAATCTCGTTCAAATTGGATTTTTGCCTACGAAAACAGCGAATTTCGAAAGCCCGATTTCCAGGTAACTCGCGAAGGCACAACTTTGAACTAATATTACAACAAATTTATTTCTAAGTAAGAAGATAGAATGTATTCATTAGAATAAGCATACCCTGAAGAAGAAAGTGTATTGAGAAAATTTTGATGTTTAATTCATTAAAATGCATTTTTATCATGTCTAAGATAGTCAAAATTCGAGAAAATTACTGCAAGAAAACAGGTCACATCTCATAATCTAAAAGTCATTTGGCAACATAATCCAGTCACTTCGTCAGTCCCTAGTTGAGTAGCTTTATTGATTATAATAGGAAATTGTATATAATTTAATAGTATTTACGTGTGGTTTTTTGGCTATTTTCGGCACACAAGCGCGGATCCACCGTTGTGGGCACTGTGGGCATGCCCACAACCCCAATTTGTTTGTTTTAATATTATGATCTATTGATAAGATTGATAGGCTGATGATAAAAACGGCTGACTGATGATCCTTTAAAAAATCGAGCGTGATGAGTACGAACTCACTCACGCTCAGTGAGTGAGTTCGTACTCCAATCCAACTCTCACTTTGCTAAATTTTTGGTGGCTGTGCCCACAACCTTTTTCGAGGGCTGGATCCGCGCCTGTCGGCACATCGTATTAAGCATCTTATAATATAAAGTTAATCTGCATTTGTGTTAAGTTTTACTCCAAATCGTCAGTCCCTAGAGCGTCAGGCCCTAGCTTTAAACGGCACTTGGGACTAAATTACTAGTTAGGGAATGATGTTTTTTATATAGTGATAATAACAAAACAACTACATTATGTGTATTAACTTATCTATAAATGTTAAGGTTAAAAGTTTTATACTTTATTAGAAGTCATATAGGAGTAATGTAGTATGAAAAAATTGAAAATTATAATTTCTCCTAAAATAAAGCATAAAGTGACTGGCCCTTTTAGACATAACATAATTAATTAATAAACAATAATTTACACTAATAAAGTATTCAAAAGCATCTTAAAAAAGTTACGGACAAAATGACGTCGAAAATATACAGATTTTTATGGAATGACCCTTATAGCGATGACTACATCTTGTTGTGTCACTCTAACAATATACATACGAGTACCTTAACACGTACAAATTAGCATACAGATGCGTCTCAAAGCAAAAATTGCTTAATTAAGCGTAGCGAATTATTTCTGCTAACGAGTGGCGCAGGCGCAAGCAAACCCGTAAATTACCCTGATTTAGACGTACTTTCTCTATTTGTGAGCTGCGAAGGTACGGAATAACTAAAAGTTAAACTGAAGTAAATATAAATGTATCTATCGTGACTAATAATTGCTAGCTAATAAAGCTTGCGGGAAAAGTATATATCTCGAAATAACTTTGGCTGTAAAATACTTTAATTACGTACCCATTGCCATATGTAAGAAAATCATCAAACGAGTAAACAGATCATCAACAAAATTTTCTGATTGCCGCAAAATATAGAACTTCATGAAAAATAAGTACCTACCTACGTAATGATTTCTGAATTACAACTACCTACTAAGAACATAAAAACTGCATTTGTTTTCTCAACAACAAACAAAGCACTGCAATCAATACGAAGCACTCAGGCGCATGAAAATCTCCGCTTTTGTATATTTTTGTACCATCAGAGGAATCGGCACTTATTCGATATCCAGTAAATTCGAACGAGTGCAGTGTGTTAAAAACTTCCATTCCTCAATGCAGTGAACAAACAAACAAAATGAAAAACGTGTTTGTGATTCTTAAAAATCCATTCACAAAAGGTTGTATTAGAGTTAGAAGGAGTTAGACCATTGGATCGTTTTAAATCAGGAAGATTGTGAAAACATAGGTTGAAGAAACTTTAATGGAAGACAACAGCATCCACTTGGGTTTACAGAAAAACGAAATATTTTTAGACAGATTGGACAGTGGACACAATACGAATACGACTGATTTGGTATGTATGGTAGCTATAACAAAGATCGAAAACTAAATGAAGAGCAGTAACTTCAAAAAACTTTAACGTTGTAGATGACTGTCAACCCAGTCTCGCACGTCACCGTCTGCGCCCTTGAGAGCCGCCATGACGGTAAGTGCTTGCTCTTATTGTCAATGACGACCGCATCATTATCTTGCCCCTTCGTCATTTTGTAGAGTCACCATCAATTTGGAATTATGAATAATAGTTACTATTTTCTTGTGGGTGGACCACAAAGTGGACCGACTACCTCATAAAGGTAGCAGGAAGGCGCTAGATGCAGGCCGCCACCAACCGGCCATTTTAGAAATCATTGGGGGAGGCCTATGTTCAGCAGTGGACGTCCTATGGCTGAAATTATGATGATGATGACTATTTTCTTATTTCACGCGTGCTAATAATTATATCACATTTAATGAGCATCACCTATTTTAAATAAGTTTCCCTGAGGGTAACCAGCGTACGAGTTTTAAGCCGTTTAACTTTCCTGGATTCATATTTAGAGCTAACTTCACCAATCGACTACAGTCGCTATCAGTAAAATGATATTATAACATAGTTAGGTGTCACAGGGATTTGTGTGACAAATAGGTTACTGAAATAAGTATGAGTGTAGAAAGCAGGTCTCAAGATGAGGCTGAAAGAAAACCTATCCTGTTCAAATTCCTTTCAATTAAGTAATGACAATTTTTATGAAAACCCTGCTGTTATATCAGTGAAAAGAGCTGCTCTGTCTAAGAATCGATGTCAAGCCCTTGCTAACATAGACAGTTGGACACAGCATCGAAAGCATTATTTTAATGCTGTCACCAGTTTAGCATCGCACCGCGTGATAAATATCCGAACCGCGCCATATTTGCGGGATAATTATAAAATCGACTGACTCATGTCCCTGCGGTTTGTCATTTGTCATTTCACTTGGTTATCATTTTTATCCCCTCATTTATGAATTTCTGTGTTTCAGTATTAACAAACTTTTATTTCGTACCTATCTGGACAATATTTTTCTACAAACAAAATGTAGCCTACTTGCCTATGTCCGACACTCAAATCCAATCTAGTATTTTTATTAATTTGGTTCATGAAAATATAACAAAGCAACAGACAGTTACTTTTGTGCTGACTAAATAAATTTATAGTAAAGGAATTTTCTACAACAGGGAATTGTAAGTAATAATAGTATGTATTGTTATTGTCCTCATTCTCACTTCACATACAAACAATAAAATTCCAGTGGCGATTACAAATAAATCTATTTTTGCGATTAAAACGCAGCAGTCATAAAGGGCTACTACTTAATTTATGTCGTGTCGCGCAGGTGTCGAGCACTTTATGTGTCCTGCGCGTGCGCTTATGGGAAAAATGCGAGTGTCGGTCACGATGTGAATACTTCACGATCACTCGGGGAACTGGTAAAAATAGAAAAACGATTTACTTACTTGAATCGGGTGCAGCTGGACAATCGAAGCTGTGGTTTTGTCCAGGGTGCAGGTACATCTTGTGCTGGAAAAAAAGAGAAAATAATTCATCATCATTGAAGAAATTAAATAGGTAGATATCATAAATCAATATCTATCAAGTTAATTTGTTAACTCACATAAAATATAATTTTAAGTTCACTTCTAGAAAACAAATAAGATAAACACTTTTACAAACATTATTCACCATCAACCGTGATCAACACCATCTTAATGACAATCGCAACATGAAATAAAAAATCATTTTCACATAATTTGTGATTAAAAAATATGCGAGGGTAAACTTTTCGTTTCAAGGAAAAACTTTTCCCTCCTTGCACTGACACCTGTGGATTGGGAGACGAAGCAGTTTCTATGTAAGCGCCATCTCTTTTATGTCTGGCGCACTACTTGCTACTTATAATGTATTAATTATTCGCAATGATTAACTTGTGAATAATTTAACTTGTCACAACTGCGATAAATCGTTTTAATAAAGTTTATGACAAGCCGTAAAATCTTTTAACAAATAAATAATCAATAAAAGCCTACAACTTTAAAAAATAATCCGCTTCCGCAGCTGACGACTTGACAGCTGATTGTTGACAGCAAATGTCATCGTCGACCATCGTCGATTCACCCAAGTGAATTTTTCTATGTGAAAACTTAGTGTGAAAACCGGAATATAAGCAGTCCTAATTTACATTTTAAGGTAAATTACTAAACATTCCGGTTCTAAATACTTATCTAATACACGTTTTTAAATAGTAAAGGCGAGCAGCACGTACCAACCTGAGTGAAAACGTAGTAATTGAGATTATTTTTATGCCATTTGCGTTCTTTACTTTCCTTTGTGATGATAAGTGATTCCATGAGTAATCAGTGTTATTGTGAATCATAACATTGATCTGACTTATCTCCACATGTGTGGATACTGGGAAGCGTAATTTATCAAGGACTTGACAGGATTTGACCAACTGGGTAAAATATTTTCTTTTATTTATTAGCATATCTTTCAAACTTATTACTGTATTTTATATTAAAACCATTGTGCGCCCTGTACTATAAAGTTGCTTTCAATGATTTCTAACAAGATATTTCATAATAAAATGTTATTATAATCACCATTAATCAGGGACTTCTCTATGACTTCTTTGTTAATTTAAATTAATATATTTACACCCCTAAAAACAGGTAGGCAATGATTTGAACCTAATTTTCATATAAAACTTAGTAACAAATACTACCTAATAAATCTCATGAAAATATTAGGTATCTTAAGTTCTATAAAAATCTAATTATAATCAAACACTTTTAAATAAGTATCAAAAACTGTAGCACTCTGTTCTATAATTTGGTGAACATTTTGTTATATTGCATCAAACTTTTTAGAACAAATTTATCAATAAATCAAAAGTTATTTGGGTTTAGAAATTGATTAATCATCATAAGTTTTGCACAGTGTGATTAAAATTTAGTAACAATATGATTCAGTAAATTGAATTACCTTTTTAAATTAACTGACTGTTGAACCCAATTTAGATTGCAAATGTTTTAATTATTACTCATTGTTACTAAACATGTATGTAGCAATTAATATTGTGTGCTAATTTATCTAATCCAAAGCAAATAGGCTATTAATCAAAATTTTAATACCATTTATTTAATTGACTCTTAAAAAACTTTTATGAATGCTTAGCTTTGGCCTTTACATGTCATTTATCTATTTTTAAACCACTAATTTTCATTACTAAACCGTCTATCAGGTGAACACTGGCCTTATTGCCTAATTAACCATAATGTATCATGATCCTATTATACACCACTGCTTAGAAACCACTTCCAAGCTATGCTACTTCAAGAAAAGGAAAATAATGCGTCATTATTTTGATATCTAGACAATTACTAACAAGGTAACTTACAATCTACTTCTGTCATGTAGGCTGTGGTTAACAATAAGCTGCCTTGGACTTAACATAACTTTACAAGCTTATATTCACATATCAGTAGATTCAAGCATGCATTTTACCATCTTGGGGACCACCACTCATACTGCTTTCATCACTTCACTAATCAAGAGCGTACCCAAGGAAAGCAGAGGGCTGTCCCTCCCGTCTGAAAATGGTACGTCCTTACATACCTATTTCTAGGCGTGGAGAATCCTGCCTAAATAATATAATAAGGCCAGAGGGGGGCAGTCTGGCCCAGTGAAGGACGAGGTGGTTGTGGCAGACTACCACCCCTGGCTCTCATCAGGTCTGGCGCAAAATGTACAAATACAAAATACAAATACAAAATCATTTATTGTGAATCATAGGTAAAATGGTGACATGTATGTTACATTAGGTAGTATCACTATGTTCCGCTCAAAGAGCATACAATTTGTCAGACAACAATAAACTTCAACTTCAACAATGCACTTCGCAAAATGCGCTCTTTCCCATACTAATCAAACCCCGTTCATACTTCGCTTCACACAATCATCACTTGCAAACGCTTCACATGATTCCAGAAGCACAATGACCGAGCGAGAGCCGATAACTGGGTCGAGCCGTGACTACGGCGCCACGGCAGCGCCTCCAGCGGTGGGCTTCGCGGACTTCAGTCCCACTGAGCTCTACAACTTAAGCGAGGGCATCGCTGAGAATGTCAACTCGGTCAACAGCGGGCTGAGGTCGCTCGAGAAGATGATGAAGCAGATAGGCGGCCCCCATGACAGTGTGCAGTTGAGGGATAAGATGTAAGTGAAATCAAAATTTTTCTAAAAAGGAAGCAGCTAAAGCCTGGTCCGTGAGCACGTAGAATTTTGTCCAATGACCCCAAGCTACCCATCCTTATCGCTCGCGCGTAATTATATTGCTGTCGCGACTGTGCGACGGGCGCCCGCAGTGAGTGTGCGAGCACGACAGCAACATAATTAGGCGCGAGCGATAAGGATGGATAGCTTGGGGTCATTGGACAAAATTCTACGTGCTCACGGACCAGGCTTTAGGTCGGGTAGCGTAATAATGAGTCATAGGTAGGTACAGCATATTAATAGTGTGAGAAAGTAGTAGAGAAAGAAGTGATGACTGTAACATTCAAAACGACTACAATATGTAAAATCCGGAATGGCGAAAGCAAAGAGGTAGGTATGGCAGTGGTATCACAACAATGATGTTACATGCAATAGGTAATGGCCAGTGGTGGTTACTTAGTATGGTGTATGAAAGGAAGTTACGACCTTGAACGAACGTAAATATGTGTCATAAGGCAGTTGCCATTATTTCCATTGAGTTATTTTTGTTTATCAATTCCATAAGAGGGGTAATGTTTAACTGATATCAAAACATTTGCAGCTGTTTACAATTTCTATGTATTTATGTATTCTAATAGGAAGGATAACAGTCGCTGCTGATATTTACGGTCACTTTAGGTACATAATGATCGATTGGTTATAGATGTTGAGCAGTTTTCCCGAAATATTCTGGCTGAGCTGCAGCCAAACCAATTGGTTTATATTAAAGAGTGCGAAAATTTGGAATAGCTAGTGAATTACTGGTTAATAACCGGTTTATATTGAAGAATTTGATCGGTAAATATTGAAAATTGTATAGCATTTCTTCATAGCGATAGATAGGACTGCCTAAACTGTGCCGTAAAATAAAAATAAAAAAGTGGCTTTGAGAAGCCCTATCATCATCATTTTAGCCACTGGTGAACATAGTCTACCTCGCCCAATGTTACCATATTGACTTGCATCCAGCGCCTCCTTGCTACCTTTATGACTACTAATATCTTCGGTCCACCTTGTGAGTGGACGTCCCACGTCTATTTGCAGCAAATAAATGAGGTTTATAACTTTATCTCCTCAGCCACGACTGCCGGCAATCTGTGAACGCGTTCGTCTCAGCGACGGGTCCACTGATGAACATAAGCCTTCCCAATGATTTCCATATTGGTTCGTAGCGGCCTGCATCCAGCGCCTCCTTGCTACCTTTATGACTACTAATATCTTCGGTCCACCTTGTGAGTGGACGTCCCACGTCTATTTGCAGCAAATAAATGACGTTTATAACTTTATCTCCTCAGCCACGACTGCCAGCAGTCTGTGAACGCGTGCGTCTCAACGACGGGTCCACTGCTGAACATAAGCCTTGCCAATGATTTCCATATTGGTTCGTAGCGGCCTGCATCCAGCGCCTCCTTGCTACCTTAATGCAGGGATTCCCAATTTTTTTTTCCAAGGCACCCTAATTATTTGATTATACTCTTCCTAGCGGAACCCCGTACTACTCCACCCGCACGCCCTGCCCCTACCTTGTGCGTAAACAAGTCGGTGCGCGTGAACAACGTCGGTCACGAAACGTGGGATAATATTTTTTACGGAACCCTTGCGGCCTTTCCACGGAACCCCAGGGTTCCGCGGACCACCTTTCGGGAACCGCTGCCTTAATGACTACTAATATCTTCGGTCCCACGTCTATTTGCAGCAAATAAAAGACGTTTATAACTTTAACTTCTCAGCCACGACTGCCAGCAGTCTGTGAACGCGTGCGTCTCAGCAACAGCCCGGGACTTACAAAGACTGGGTGTGGTGGTGCGGCGCGGGGACAAGCCGCAGAAGCTGCAGGTGGAGCGGCTCACGCAGGCCTTCAAGGACGCGCTGGCCAAATACTCCGCCGTGCAGAAGGTACGCACGAACACCCTACATGCTACTACCGTCCACAGTGCGTCGTAGCGTACTAAACGCGTATTCATCTTTATACCCCTGATGCCTTAGTGCGAGTTTGCATTGAACGTCGTCGCTTTTAGTTCTTGAAAGTATCCGCTAGGAACGCTGTACAATCTGTCATACATTTAATGTCATTTTTTACGCAGTCGTCGCAGTCATCGCTAGGATGACATTTGGTATTTACTCCCACTAAGGCCACTAGTGTACGCCTGCTTGCAACTTACATACAAACATATCTCATGTTTTGTTTTCGTTTCTGCCAAAGACTTCCACTATTGGACAAGGCCTTCCTCCAAAGGTTTCCAGAACGACCAAACCTGCGCTGCCCGCATCCAAGGTGCTCTTACCGCACCTTAGACCTTACTTTATAGGTGACCTAAGAGATATGGAACCTTGCACAGCATTGTTTACGCGAAAGTGACCAGTCTTTTCTTCCTTCTTAGAAATATATCACCCAAACCATACAGATTAAAAGCAGAAGAGGCAGGGCTTGTTATTATCTGGTGAAGAACCGTTAACTGCTAAACAAAACGAGTTCTTGAGTGGAAATCGCGAGTCGGCGAGTGTAGTGCAAGCCTTTGTAAGACTCTCCAGCTAGGTGACTAGCAAAAGATCAACCGCAATTTATTACTACTGTTATCCTCCAGGACCAAGAGTTACCATACAACCCTTGGATTTTATTAATGCCTTTTTGCCTCAAATTCCTAGGAGGTGTCAGAAAAGATGGCTGCCCATATGCCGCGGCCGGCGCGCGTGCGTAACGATCCCGCCGCATTGGAACAGCAGGCCATAGCTGACGACGAGGAGGCCGCGCTCGTCGCCAACCAGCAGGCTCAGGTATCTTATGTAGACGGAATAACGGTGGTATTGCAACGACCGCGCCGCGCTCGATCGTGCCAACCACCATGCGTAGGTATCTTATGTAGATGGAATAGGGGTGGTATTGCAACGACCCCGCCGCGCTGGAACAACAGGCCATAGCTGACGACGAGGAGGCCGCGCTCGTCGCCAACCAGCAGGCGCAGGTACCTTCATCATCATCATCATCATCATTTCAGCCATAGGACGTCCACTGCTGACCATAGGCCTCCCCCAATGCTTTCCATGTTGATCGATTGGTAGCGGCCTGCGTCCAGCGCTTCCCTGCTACCTTTACGATGTCGTCGGTCCACCTTGTAGGTGGACGTCTCACGCCATCGGCCGTCAGTTCTGCGTACTATGTGCCCTGCCCATTGCCACTTCAGCTTGCTAATCCGTTGGGCTATGTCAGCGACTTTAGTTCGTTTACGGATCTCCTCATTTCTAATTCGATCTCGCAAAGAAACACCAAGCATAGCCCTCTCCATAGCAGGTACCTTGTGTAGACGGAATAAGGGCGATATTGCAACGACCCCGGCGCGCTGGAACAGCAGGCCATAGACGATGAGGAAGCCGCGCTCGTCGCCAACCAGCAGGCGCAGGTAAAAGACGAAACTAATATTGGTATCTGTCACTATCGCTCACTCTAGCATCTCGCTTCGTGTGAAAGGGACGGATGCAACTTCCCAACACTTGATAATTATAATATTCGGCAGGCACGGCTTTTGAAACGCCAGGTTTTGAAAAAATAATAACATAGGTGGGCATATCTGTCACTGGCACACGTTAGCATCTCGCCTTGCGTGAAAGGATCGAATGCATTCGAAACTTTCCAACACTGTCCGCACCACTACTTCACTGAGTAATAATGCCTTGTTTTAGCAAATAATGATAAACTAATATTCGTTCTTGATTATACTCGTATCTGTCACTCTCGCGCACTCTATTATCTCGATTTGCGAGAGACGGATGCGTTCAACACTGGTATGTTTTACAGGCGCGGCTAGTGCAATTCGAGACGTCAATGCTGGTGGAGAGGGAAGCATACATGTCCAAGATCGAGGCTGATGTCTTGGACGTGGGACAGATCATGAGGGAGTTGGCTGCTATGGTCAGCGTGCAGGGACAGACTGTTGGTAAGTGGCTGATCACCAGACTTTGTCCATAATCATACTTCATGTTATTAATATAAAAGTTTTATGTCTAAGAGTAGTTATGCCCGATTTTAAATTGTATGAAGAATCGGCCAAATCGAATCGGTGTAGTGTGCACACTCCCATACATGCCCATACTGATCAACTGCCCGACTAAACTATCGGCCGACGAAAAATCAACGGTGTGCGCCTACTCTAATATCTTCTAAAGGCTGGACCGATATGTTCATGCATTTTATAGGATAGTAGTAATAGTAACTATCCCGAAATCATCCCATTTGGAAGGGAGGGAACGGTATGGAACTTTGCCTTCCTGTGGCCTCTTAAAGCCACCGTATTGGCGCTCCACAAATTCAAATTGATTTTTTGTATGTAATGCAGACCCTTTTCAGTTGAGTATCTCGTACAGTCAGCGTAAAATAGGTCGTGGTGACACCCAAAAGTATCCAAAAAGTTCGCAACAAGTAATTATTAGACTGTGTTGTGTCCATCCACCAGAGATGTGCGAGGATACGTAGCGATGGATGTGTTTGTAAAGAACCAATCGCTTAATTTGCCGAGGAAACGCAGCCTTGTGTTGTCAACTTTTTGACTTTGGATGTTTGGAACTATTTGACGCTGACTTTGCCATTCTATCGACATTAATACACAAAATGTACAATAACACATTAACATTCCCTCAGACACGGTGGCGAGTCACATAGAAGACGCGAGCGCTCAAGTGGAATCCGGCGTCGATGAGTTGGCCAAGGCCGCCGAGTACCAGCGCCGCTACCGTCGGAAAATGTTCATCCTCATACTCATAGCGCTCATCGTGGGCATCATATTCGTCGTCTGGATCGTCAAAGCCTTCAAGTAAACTATACTTGAGACTAGGAAAGTATGTGTGCGACTGAAGCCTAGAGGCTATGGTCTTCATTAAACGCCGTAGGCCGCGTCGCAATGCTTACTAAATGCACTGTTCAGTTGTGGTCTGATTCAGACGTCGGCGTATGGATGTCGAAGAAACGTGTGACGCGTATTAGCGATTAATAGGAGACCGTAGCTTAAACAAACTATAGCCCATCAAGCCAGTTGAAACTTATGAGGCTTTATTACGAAAAAAGGAACACTGATATTTCCATTTCATTCAACCAGTTTTTTTTTTTGTAATAAGAAGGATGTTGTTGTAATAACTGAGATATTGCAACTAAAATGTGTAGTCTGATGTGCAGTTGACTGTACGTACAGTACAGTTGGAAGTGTATCGGGCTACGTCGAAAATATTGACTTTAAAATGTAATTGGCACATGCAACCTAATAAATGTACAGGGTTGGCTTGAATTTGGGGTCGAACATTTTGTGGGGATTCTGTCGCCAAAGGTTTGAGAATCGCTGGCCTATAAATTTGTAATCTTTAAAATGTATGGGAATGACTTGTGCATGCGCAATATCGCAGTTTTCATACAATGAACCAACTAATTTAACTTTTTGGTACTCTTGGAAGAGAAACCAAGTCTAATTTCCATTATCCACCATTTTTAATGGACTTCTGAATAATTCAAGTCATTGAATTGAATTTTGAAATGTCCCTTTTTTGCATCAATATGCATGCCAATGCAAACATACTAACTCAATGTTAATCAAATTCAAAATTCAATTTACTGTCTCGAATTTTAAACTATTCCTAATCACTAATCATGTTCATAAAAAATATATTGCGCGTCACAAGAAATATAGTCTAATGATATTATTTAAGTCTTACAATTCACGTCTAAGCATGTTCTACTTACAAACTGCAAGACAATAAATTATTATAATCTTGCACGTTTATTCTTTGGGCCCACTAAGAAATGTTAGAGAGCATAATAAACATGTCAGTATTTTGAAAAGCTAACCTCACATCTCTGGTTAGTTTTTTTTTTCTTATTGACTTCACTTTATGTTCAAGAGTTTTAGATCTGGCAACCCATGCGAGGTATTTACAACCTCAAAAAGTATATAGGCTAGAAGTGTATTGTTTAATCAGTATAAATAGTTATTTATCGTCTCGATTGTATAACTGAAGGATTATTTCACAATTAAGTTATTAGTAAGTAGTTGATTTAGTATTTTAGTATGACTAAGTTCTAAATCAACGTAGGTACATCTATATATATAAAAATGAAACCCGTTTCGCGTTGTCACGGCATCACGTGTGAACGGCTGAACCGATTTCGATAATTCTTTTTTTTAAATGTTTGTGGAAGTCCAAGGATGGTTCTTACGGAAAAAAATATTAAGAAAATCTCTACGCTAAGGCGGTACGAAGTTCGCCGGGTCAGCTAGTTTTAAATATTTATGTATGAACCGTTACAACTTTGTTAAATAATGTAACATGCAAATGCGAGTCTCAAAGGAAACTTAAATGTTTGTAAATAAAAACGATAATTTACAAGTAAAGCGAAAGAAAAGTAGTTTAAAGTAATTGAAAAAAAAATTGTTGCAGAAAAGCCAAACGTAGATTTGCGTTTTGTTAAAAATATGTAGTAGTTAAATGGAAATAATATAATTTATCAACTTTATTTTGTAAAAATAATATCGTATTCTGCTAGTGATGTCTCGAAATTGTGCAATGAAAATTATATTTTTTTCTTCTTATAAATTTATTTGTATAATTATGATCTGTAAAGATGCAATTGTTATATTAGATACCTACATACATTAGGGCATAGTTCCATTATGTATCAAAACGTTAGTATGTTTTTCTTTTTTTTTATTCATCCAACAATAATATGAAATAACTTACTGGGCCCTTTTTTAATTCAGTTGTGAAATATATCGAGTGAGTTAAAGTTTATTTATTGAAGTATTACAATTACCTCTATGTTAAATTGTTATTTTGTTTAATGTAGCTGTGTATATAAGGCCTTATTTAGTATGTACTATGTTATTATTACTATTTAACGTAGGTAGGATTTTGTATAATAACTAATAAATGTAATAAAAATAGGGTTGTCGCTAATTGGTTATTAATATAATAGTTGCAACCTTATTTTTTGTATAACATTCATTCATTATCCAGTAAATAAAAAGTAATTGAAAACAACATTCCAAAAGACTCACTGATAATAATTATTTAAGTCGCAAATGTAGTACATATTCGACTTGATTGCAACTTTGTATGGTCTCAAAACTTCAATCACTTAATATGTAAAACCAAAACGGTTAAAAATATTTTCTGTACACTTTTTTATAAAAACGCATGGAAACACATTTTTTCAATTGTCAAAATGTACATTTCTCAATAAAATATCGTTTCAATAATACGAACAATAAAGAAATTATAATGTATTTTTTCTTTTATTTTAATTTCAAATGAAAGTACTCAGTCATTCAAAAATCTTTTATTGCGCACATAACATTATAAGGTACATAATATAAAACGAATCATTTACAAACCCGCCGTTTGTGTCTGGACTAAAGCGGGCGAACTAGATCAGGGTTGTCGTGTAACAAAATAAACAGCGAAACAAATTAAAGTCAGTTGTCAGTGTCATTTTTTTTTAACTAAATGAGCAAAACTTTGACAAAAACTTAAAAATCAGCTACAGGATTAAAAATTCGGTTTAAAGATATTGAAGGCATTAGTTCATAAAATGGTCATTCAATATTATGGGACGTTCAAAAGGCAACGATGGATTGGGCAGTGGTTATTTTTATTTACAAAAAATATTTCATAATCTTTGAGCAAGAACCCTGCAGTATTTTATTTTGCTGCGTCATTAATTTTGTTACACGACAAAAACATAAACCTGACACGTATCGACTGAGGAACATCTGACTTGAATACAACATTTACGAGATCTTCAAAATATTATAAGGGATTGCCAGGTAAAAAAATATCAACAAAAATGAAAAGAACGTCGCAATTGTAATTTGGTCGTTTCTCTAAAGATTAGCGATTAGCAATTTAACAAAAAATATAATTCTCACTCAATATTTTGTGCCAAAAGGAATATTATTGTACCTGACAACCCTAATAAGGCAAAATGCAGACTTGTCCCCTTATTCAGAAAAAGTAAAACAAGTGCTTGCTTCAACCATTGAATGCTTGGTCACTTTCAAAGGAGATAACTGTTATCTTGAAAGCTTTTGTTGTGAGTACTAACACATATTATTATTCTGAATACGTCATCCAAATATGACTGTAATTATAGTAAATTTTTGAAATTTGACTACTCACAGGATAAACACTACGTAAAGTTCAACTTTTTATGAATAAGAGGGTTAAAGTGTAATTGTTTAATTGCTAACTTATTAGTATAATAATAAGTTATTTATAAATTAAGATGCCTATTTATGGTGATGATGACTTTAAAAAGAAGACAAGTCTGCATTTCAATGGAAAACATACATTTCTATGAATGTATGTGAATTGACTGGATTTTATTACACAATAATAATATTCTTCCTGAGCCAGATTTTTAATTGGAAATCATAAATATAAAAATAGCAGTGATAGCTTCGCTATCTTAATTTTCGAAAACCAATTAAAAATCCAACTGTAAATCATTTGCATCGAACTCTAGAAAATGTAACATTTATTGCTTTTTGTTTCATTTTGAAGAATACCACAGTTATCCGAAAATACTTAAAATTAACATTACAAAATATAACTAAACCGAATGTGTGGTAACGAGAATTTTGGATTTCTTACACGCTAACGGGTTTATTGTCGCCGTTTAATTTTAGTACAAAATGAAATATTATTACTTTGATATTACAGTCATATAAGACCATGTTTAAAATACTATAATTTGTTTTAGAGTTCAAATAAATATTTTTAAAATTTGCACGGTGATGAAGTTCAAATAAATTAAAATTATTAATTCGAGATAATTAACGACACATACATGAATTTGGGAAGAAAATATGAATAATTATGACAAAGTTTTAGTAACTAATTGGGACCAACGTCTCAAGGCGATATTATGTGCACATAAAATTGTGTTTATGTGTGAAATATTGTCAATTATTAAGACGCCGATGTCTGCATTTAAAAAGTTAGATTGTTTAAATTAACCCATAGTTATTTGCTTACACAGCGAGGTTTGAAGTGACTTATATGGTTCAGATACTAAATGTAACATAAATCTAAAATTATCAGAATGCTACTTCGAAATAATAGCTCTCTCTCTCACTCAAACGAGCGTCTCAAGCTGAGCGAAAGAGACGGATATAATCCTGTCGAAAACATCTCGCAGAGTAGACTAAAGCGTGCATCACAATAAATTATATCAAAAACAGTCAGATTTGGTTTATCAAAATGCATTATTTTCATGCTTATCAGTAAATTAATTACTATTACAAACTAATTTGATATTCGGTATTCACAGACGTGGACATTTATACAGTGAACGTTGCTAGGTATATACATTTTATACATTTCAGTTATTTAATATTTACTTAATAATGTTTTCTATTAGTATTAGATCATTCTCCACACCAAATTAACAAAATAGATTGTCTATCTAAATTATAAAATATGTTTTGAAAGAAGTGAGAAACAAAATCTAATTGCTTTTTAAAATAAATGAGTAGACCGTTTCATGAAAAATTTAACTCCACCAAACTTCAGGAAAAACGGCTCTGCCGTTGTAGGCCGCAGAAATCATAACTTTATCGTTTGATAATACAATAACTGGGTCGTTCTACTTTTAAGGTTTAACCATGAAAAAAAATAAAGAAAGCTATTTAGTACATTTCATACGACTGAAATGTAGGAAAATTACCATAGATTCGGTATCTGTAGACCAGCAGCTCAGTTTTTTATCAAAACTTATATTTTTTTGCGTTTTACTAGACTAAGATGGAAAAAAATGTATCCTTCGTCACGAAATTCAGTTGTTTAAAACTTGATAAATTAAAAGAAATTTCAATAGATATTTGCATTTATTATTACAAAATCTCAGCTTAAATCAGTCTTGGATAATTGGTAGTTAATCGTTATTTAATCAGGTAACAATTCCATAAAAATGAACAGTTTGTCCCTTTCGTCACATTTACACCTTTAAAACTTAACAAAAATCTATAATTTTTCTCTTTTATAAAGTTATATTGAAAAAGTAGTATTACACACTAAAAACCAAGTATTACACGACATAAAATGAGTTACAAAAAGAGTTAACACTCTCATTTTTGTTGTTTAAGAGATAATATTTATTAGGGGACGAGATCAAACTCTTCGTTACGAAGGAGACGTAAATGTGATGAAGTAGACATCTAACAATTAATAATCAATCTAACTTGAAAACTAATGAGTGTCTCAGCCATTTTTCACTAAGCACAGGCATATCTTTGCTTATTACTAAAATATATAATGAAAAATATGAGGAAAATCAGCAAAAACCTACACAAATAGGAACTGAAACTAAGAGTATTACAACTACGGATTAAGATCGTTTAGTCGACGCAGCGTTGAAATTGTACAGATAAATGCAGTTTGCGCACTCACTACGCGACGTCAAGCAATAAAAACCTAAAATTCGAACGCCAACTTTTTGCTACAACGCTCTTAAGGCAACACCTTAGCATAATATATTTATAAGGAAACTGTGAATGTATGGTGTATGTTTTGTTGGTTGTCCTTAAATAAATAAATAAAACTTACTGTCAAATGACTCTACATTTCAGAAACACAGATTTTTTTAAGTCTGATGCACTATGTTTATNCCACCCAACTAATTAACGAGGCATTCACATTATTGCTTACTAGTCGAGAGTTAAATAATTAACTAATAGGTAGACAAATTAAAACTGCAAATTACTATTAAATCGACATTAAAGAAACTATGAGTAACGTCATCTTTAATTATTTTTAATATCAACAGAAACAGGCACATTCTTATAAATAATTTAAATTATGAAAAGAATCACAATAATATTTTTTAAAGAAACAACACACTATTCATAGAATAGCGGACTAAACGAACAAAACATAGAAGTATATAAAATAATTTTAAAACCTATCTAATATGTTTTTTTTATTACTTTATAGATTGCTTTGAATTGAATAGTGACCAGTAATGGTAAATCAGTAGTTATACCAGATACAATGATTATATTGAACTTCTTTACAATTTGACCAAGAAGCTAGCTATATTCTGTGGTTTTGAACATAGACCAAACACAATAGACGAACAGCAGCCTAACTGGTCAAATTATTAGATAATCATTGTAGAAAAGTCGATGTATGAGAGTATACCTGTGCATATTTTTATTTTATATCATTTTTTTTTTTGGCAATATAATATCGTTTTTTATGACATGTTATATTAATGAATTTAACAATGATAATTTACAATCACTTACTGACGATATTATAATACATTATTTTTGAACACTTTTCCACTTCAATGCACCAACGTACCCTAAATCGTAACTCTTTTATTTTTCCATAACAAAGTCCTATAGCCGTTTACAAACAAGATAATAAAAGCAAGGTTAGTGATAAATTGTCTTAATGTCGTGGCCATAAGGTGCATATTTCATTGGCCGTTAAAGGCATCTTATTTGAAAAAGCCTGAAATGCACCGTATGTCCACGACTTACCGACTTAGCTTGAGGTTCCTTGACTTTTTTCTTTGTGCTGCCTTACTTGAATAGAAACTGCTTTCACTAAAAATCTTCCACTTTCTTAAAGATTTTCTTCAATTCAATCTAATCTTCGTAATTATTATGAGCCCTTTTTTAATATGTGAGCCATACACTGCCAAGTAGTAAGACACTTGTGAAATATGGCTTGTTTCATGGTCTGTAGGATGTTCATGAAGCAAATTATATCGAACAAGAATCAATTAATCCGTAACTCTATTTGAAAACAGTAGAGATAGATTTGACTTCTGTACGGTGTGATGTCAAATAGGCAAAGCCCTACAACTTCACGACCGAATTCATTAAACATTTTGGGCGTCCTAAACGATATAAAAACTTTTAGATTTTTGTCAGTTCAACTCCAACACAGGTAATCTGACACAATTATCACTTGTCAGATTAGCGGATGATATTTAACTGTACACCTCACACTGACTGTTACGAACCAGTCTAACGCGTGGGCAATTCAATAATCAAAAACCACGCCATATTTAGATGTACTCCTCACACATTATTTGTGAGTTATTTTAGCCATCACTTCTCCGACTACGGGTGAGCATTCCGCCACTTTAATTAGCTGTACTCCCCACATAGTATTTACTAATAGTCTCAAGGGTGAGCATTTTGCCGCCTTAGCTGCACTCCTTACAATAATTATTTTCTTCATTCCTACGGGTGAGAGTTTCCCCGCTAATTTAACTGTACTAAACTCCTCACACTGTTACGAATCAAAGTTACGGGTGAGCATTTTGCCGCTCGTTCGTCACGCAGTATTAAAGTATTGTATCAGTCCTACGGGTGAGAGTTTCACCGGCTTATTTAGCTGTACTCCTCACAGAATATTAATGAATTTTATGAAAAGTCATCAGTCTTACTTAGCGTGTACTACCGCAGCTTGGCCTGGCGCTGCTGCCACATGGCGTACTTGGCGCAGGCGGCGTCGATCATCTGGTTCATGTGTCTGGTCAGAGATGTCGCTAGCGGTGTGAGGTCGCGGAGCATCTTTTCCTGGAATGAGGAAGAAAGTTACGTTATGAACGTTCAATGAAGATGTGTTCTATTAATTTTGAATCCAAATGTAATACTAACTAGCTATCTGCCCGCGGCTTCGCCCGCGTGGAATTTTGTCTGTCACAGAAAAACAATATCGCGCGCGTATTTGCTCACCGTTTAGACCTACCCTGGACTACGACAAACATTTTAAAACCAAAATCAGCTCAATCGGCCCAGCCGTTCTCGAGTTTTAATCAGACTAACGAACATCAATTCATTTTTATTTATATAGATAGATAGATTATATTGCTGTCGCGACTGTGCGACGGGCGGCCGAAGTGAGTGTGCGAGCGCGACAGACACATAATTACGCGTGAGCGATAAGGATGAGTAGCTTGGGGTCATTGGACGAAATTCTACGTGCTCGGCGACCGGTCTTTAGTAAGTAGATACAAACACTACACCCACACTCACCTCGAACGGGCGCAGCTTGACGTTTCTAAACCTAGTTGTTACTAGCTCGCTTACATCTGGAGCAATGTAACTAGCTCGCGTACGAACTAGCTCGCTTACATCTGGAGCAACGTAACTAGCTCGCGTACGAACTAGCTTGCTTACATCTGGAGCAATGTAACTGGCTACGTCACGAAGCAACAGACAGTAGGTCGCTCACCTAAAACGGCCGCAGCTTGAAGTTCCTAAACCTAGTTGTTACTAGCTCGCGTACGTCTGGAGCAATGTAACTAGCTCGCTTACTCAGGAGCAATGTAACCGGCGACGTCACAAGCAACAGACAGGTCGCTCACCTCGAACGGGCGCAGCTTGACGTTCCGGAACCTCAGCAGCGCCTCGTAGAACTTGTCGGCCTTGGCCACGTTGTCGTCGGCGTCGGCGCCTCAGAGGTAGATGCGTTGTGACTAGCTTACATCAGGAGCAATGTAACCGGCGACGTCACAAGCAACAGACAGGTCGCTCACCTCGAACGGGCGCAGCTTGACGTTCCGGAACCTCAGCAGCGCCTCGTAGAACTTGTCGGCCTTGGCCACGTTGTCGTCGGCGTCGGCGCCTCAGAGGTAGATGCGTTGTGACTAGCTTACATCAGGAGCAATGTAACCGGCGACGTCACAAGCAACAGACAGGTCGCTCACCTCGAACGGGCGCAGCTTGACGTTCCGGAACCTCAGCAGCGCCTCGTAGAACTTGTCGGCCTTGGCCACGTTGTCGTCGGCGTCGGCGCCGGCGGCGGCGGGCGCGGGGAAGCAGCGCCACAGCTCGCGCAGCAACTCCCCGCCCGACAGGTAGATGCGTTGGAGTTCGCTTGCCACGTCGGGAGGGATCAGTTCTGGGGAATTCAAATAAAAGAGCAATTAATATTACAATTAAAATTTCGTATAACACTGGGATCCACACTACAGATGTTTTAAGAGACCAGTAGTCCTAGGATGCGCGCCGCGATATAATTGTCTCACGCCATGTTATCGATTTCACGCGATAAGCCATTTGTCGTCTAAAATAATCGATAGGATTTATCACGGCGCGCATCCTAGTCCGACAGAAGACAATGAAATGATGTCGGAATAACTTCAAATCGGACGCCAGCGTCACCTATCAGCGCTTGACAGAGCCCATGACGTGGCGGTCGACTGAACGGAGACAAGCTTTGTAGCAGCAGTCAAACAGTTAGTGCTTGTTCACGTAGGCACGCGCGGGCGCGGGAAACGTCGCGAGCTCGTGTTCACATTGACGACCAGGCGTTCGCGCGAGTGTGACGTACTATCGTTTCTAGCGACAAGTTCAAACTGGTTGAACTTACCTGACTGACGTCGCGAGTGAAACGCGCGCGCCGCCGCTAGTTTGACATGAACACACACAAACATCTTCACGTGTTGAAATTACCGCGAGCGCTCCGCGCGCACCAGTCGCTAGCTTGCCCGCTAGTTAGACCGCACGTGCGTTTCGTACGTGAACACTTGGAATCACTACATATGTTTGATATTTCGTCACCGCGCCCGCGCCCGCGCCCGCGCCCGCGCCCGCGCCCGCGAGTCAACGTGTACAAGCACTTAACCCGCGTGTACTCACGCGCCATGCTGGCGGCGCACTATGGAGCGAAATTGCGATTTATGGACATAGCGATTTTTTTCACAATTTCTATTTGAAAAAAATACCTATCGATAGGTTACGTTATTCTGATGAATAAATGCTGCACAAGTTTTTCTCTAAAACCAATAGTTTGACTGGAAAAAAATACTTTCCATTTTCGTTGTATGGAATGAAACATAAAGTGGTCGATTTCGACTAAGCCTTGACAGATAATAAATAAATAATAAATAAATCTTTGGACAATTTCTCACAGCGCCAGCTAGCCCCAAAGTAAGCAACTTAATGCTTGTGTTATGGGTGCTAGCTTAACGGATATACTACTTATATACTTTTTTTTTTAAATACATAAATATTATACATAGTCACACCCAGACCCGTCACAGAAATTAAAATTCATCATTTCAATTTCTGCCCGGCCGGGAATCGAACCCGGGACCTCTCGGCATAGTAGTCCGTTCTGAACCACTACACCAAACGGCCGACAAACCATTATACCATTGTTATACAATCAATCGTGTAATAATATACACTAATATTATAAAGAGGAAAACTTTGTTTGTTTGTTTGGTTGTAATGAATAGGCTCAAAAACTACTGGACCGTTTTAAAAAATTCTTTCACCATTCGAAAGCTACATTATCCAAGAGTAACATAGGCTAGGAAAAAAATAGGGTTCTGCAAAATATGTAGGTAATGTAGTCCACGCGCGCGAAGCCACGGGCGGAAAGCTAGTAAGTCATAAACTAAAAGCAGAGGTCTGCTAATTTCTTACACATAGGCGCAGCTGGCTTTATATCAAAGTGTTGAGGTGTAGAGAGGCTTAGGTATGCCCTTGCAGTGGAAGTAAGATTATCGATACTTTTTTTTATAGTTCACATGGGATATGGGGAACAGAATGTGGTGCGGTTTTGCGTGATTCAGTTCCGATTGAGTCTTATACATATAATTATACAGTGTAGTGGGATAAAGTCATCATCATGACTTGTCGCCATGACGGCCTAGCCAGTGACCATCCTAGCTGGATGGCTCATGGTTAAAGGCCAACCCGCCCCTTAAGTCCCCAGCCTGTAACTGTCATCCTCGCCAGTGGTACAGCCTGTCTCGCCTGAGGCAGCCGGATGGATCTGATGGCATCATTGAAGACCAGCGGCCGGGCCAGGCCTAGCACAGCGATGTCGTTGTCATACTGCGGCTGTCCATATCGCGGGTGCACCGTGGACCAACCCTATTCTAGTGATAGAGTCTAGCACATAGGTGAGAACTTACCGCAGTGAGACCCCAGCCAGTGACCGTCATCCTCGCCAGCGGCACGGCTTGTCTCGGCTGGGGCAGCCTGATGGATCTGATGGCATCGTTGAAGACCAGTGGCCGGGCCAGGCCTAAGACAGCGATGTCGTTGTCATACTGCGGCTGTCCGTAACGCGGGTGCATCGTGGACCAATCCTATTATATGATAGTCTCGCATATTGATATTGTGATGACTTACCGCGGCAAGCCCCCAGCCTGTAACCATCATCCTCGCCAGCGGTACAGCCTGCCTCGCCTGAGGCAGCCGGATGGATCTGATGGCATCGTTGAAGACCAGCGGCCGGGCCAGTCCTAAGACAGCGATGTCGTCGTCATACTGCGGTTGTCCTTGGCCCTATTCTATTGATAGAGTCTAGCACATTGTTGAGGACTTACCGCAGTGATTCCCCAGCCAGTGACCGTCATTCTCGCCAGCGGCACGGCCTGTCTCGGCTGGGGCAGCCTGATGGATCTGATGGCATCATTGAAGACCAGTGGCCGGGCCAGGCCTAGCACAGCAATGTCGTTGTCATACTGCGGCTGTCCGTACCGCGGGTGCATCGTGGACCAACCCTATTATATGATAGAGTCTCGCATATTGATATAGTGAGGACTTACCGCAGTGAGTCCCCAGCCCGTGACCGTCATCCTCGCCAGCGGCACGGCCTGTCTCGGCTGGGGCAGCCGGATGGATCTGATGGCATCGTTGAAGACCAGCGGCCGGGCCAGTCCTAACACAGCAATGTCGTTGTCATACTGCGGCTGTCCGTAACGCGGGTGCACGGTGGACCAACCCTATTATATGGTAGAGTCTCGCATATTGATATAGTGATGACTTACCGCGGTAAGCCCCCAGCCTGTAACTGTCATCCTCGCCAGTGGCACGGCTTGTCTCGGCTGGGGCAGCCGGATGGATCTGATGGCATCGTTGAAGACCAGCAGCCGGGCCAGTCCTAATACAGCAATGTCGTTGTCATACTGCGGCTGGCCATACCGTGGGCCAACCCTATTCTATTGATAGAGTCTATCACATTGATAGAATGACTTACCGCAGTGAGTCCCCAGCCAGTGACCGTCATCCTCGCCAGCGGCAGGGCTTGTCTCGGCTGAGGCAGCCGTATGGATCTAATGGCATCGTTAAAGACCAATGGCCGGGCCAGGCCTAAGACAGCGATGTCGTTGTCATACTGCGGATGTCCGTACCGTGGGCCAACCCTATTCTATTGATAGAGTCTAGCACATTGATGAGGACTTACCGCAGTGAGACCCCAGCCAGTGACCGTCATCCTCGCCAGCGGCACGGCTTGTCTCGGCTGGGGCAGCCGGATGGATCTGATGGCATCGTTAAAGACCAGCGGCCGGGCCAGTCCTAAGACAGCGATGTCGTTGTCGTACTGCGGTTGTCCGTAACGCGGGTGCATCGTGGACCAACCCTATTATATGGTAGAGTCTCACATATTGATATAGTGAGGACTTACCGCAGTGAGTCCCCAGCCAGTGACCGTCATCCTCGCCAGCGGCACAGCCTGTCTCGCCTGAGGCAGCCGGATGGATCTGATGGCATCATTGAAGACCAGCGGCCGGGCCAGGCCTAGCACAGCGATGTCGTTGTCATACTGCGGATGTCCGTAGTGCGGGAGCACTTTGAGCTGACCCTACCATACATTGATAGAGTCTAGTTCATTGATATAGTGAGGACTTACCGCAGTGATACCCCAGCCCGTGACCGTCATCCTCGCCAGCGGCACGGCTTGTCTCGCCTGAGGCAGCCGGATGGATCTGATGGCATCATTAAAGACCAGCGGCCGAGCCAGGCCTAAGACAGCGATGTCGTTGTCATACTGCGGTTGTCCGTAGCGCAGGTGCATCGTGGAACAACCCTATTATATGGTAGAGTCTCGCATATTGATATAGTGAGGACTTACCGAAGTGAGTCCCCAGCCAGTGACCGTCATCCTCGCCAGTGGCACGGCTTGTCTCGGCTGAGGCAGCCGAATTGATCTGATGGCATCGTTGAAGACCAGCGGCCGGGCCAGGCCTAGCACAGCGATGTCGTTGTCATACTGCAGCTGTCCGTAACGCGGGTGCATCGTGGAACAACCCTATTATATGGTAGAGTCTCGCATTTTGATATAGTGAGGACTTACCGCAGTGAGTCCCCAGCCAGTGACCGTCATCCTCGCCAGTGGCACGGCTTGTCTCGGCTGAGGCAGCCGAACTGATCTGATGGCATCGTTGAAGACCAGCGGCCGGGCCAGGCCTAGCACAGCAATGTCATTGTCATACTGCAGCTGTCCGTAACGCGGGTGCATCGTGGACCAACCCTATTATATGGTAGAGTCTCGCATATTGATATAGTGATTACTTACCGCAGTGAGTCCCCAGCCAGTGACCGTCATCCTCGCCAGCGGNATAAGTTTATATTTATTAAAAAATATATATTTTGTAATGTAACTAAAAATTTAAGGTTTTCGGAATTTTTCCTTTATGTGTGCTATAAAACGTTGCTTCATGCCAAATTTCAAGATTCTAGGTCGACTGGAAGTACCCTTTAGGTTTTGATTCCCTTGCGAGTACTTGCGAGTTTCAAAATATGCAGCTTAAATTGCTGTTTCTTTTGATTGCGTTGACATAGAAGTTTGATTTTGTTACAGCTTAAAGGTATTATAGACCTGAGTATTTGGTATGAATTTCAATTTAATACCTCTACGCGTTTATGAGGAAATGGGTAGTAAGTTTAAAATTATTAAAAAAAAAATATATTATGTGATGTAACTAAAAATTTATGGTTTTCGTAATTTTTCCTTTATCTATGCTATAAGACGTTGCTTCGTACCAAATTTCAAGATTCTGAGTTCACGGGAAGCACTCTGTAGGTTTTGATTCCCTTGCAAGTGTCGAAAATTTGCGGCATAAACGGCTGTATCTTTTGATTGCGTTGGCTTAGAAGTTTGATTTTTTCACAGCTTGAAGGGACAGTAGACCTGAGTAATTGATATAAATTTCAGCTTCATACCTCCACGCGTTCCTGAGAAAAAGGGTCTTGACAGACGGACGGACGGACAACAAAGTGATCCTATAAGGGTTCCGTTTTTTCCTTTTGAGGTACGGAACCCTAAAAACATCCATCTTTATCACTACCCAGACGGGCGACGCGGAGCGCGTCATCTTCAAACACAGACTAAGAAAAATTTGGTTGAAAAGCAACCATAGTGCCTAGAAAATACAGCTATCACATTCATACTTAAGCATTATTACTTTCGTGCGAAAGAAACAGAACTATATTTTTTAAATGACAGGGTCCCGTACTTGGACAAGTGATTTGCGGCGGGAGCCGCCGCAGATCACTTTAGAGCTTCGTGACGTACGTCGGCTCCCGCCAAAGATCGCTTGAGAGGAAGATAAAATACATTGACATTTTTATAAGTTCGCGATACATTTAGTTAGTGTTCACATTTTTCCTCTTCTCTTTATTGACTCAGTAATAGAATGCCACCTTTACAACTTTTATTCAAAAACACTTCCAAACCCACTTCTCCCGCAAACAGTGCGAAACTCGACCGATTTTTTAATTTATACACTCAGAACCCGGTCTCAGCAATTTTTTCCTTGTAACTGATCTCCCGTCTTGGTGTAAATAGACCCTCTTTTTAATATTTCTTCGCCCCGGAGCCATTTATCTCCAGTTTTATTTACTAGTACTTTTAATGAGCTCTTTTTGTCACCTTGTTATATTTTTTACCTTTTTTAAGACGACAACAGAAGCGTAGAAAGAGCGAAAGGTTTTAAAAATGGGTTAAATTACAAATGCACCCGCTTGGTCGATGTCTTTTGCAAATAATAAAACGTTGAGTAGTGCTTGAACCTCCGAGAATTTAATCATGGACTTTTCAAGTAAGTCTTGCAATGCTTTNCATGAGCGCGCCGCCGGGACTGAGCTCGCCGAGCGCCGCCACCGCCGCCGCCGCCGACACGCGCGCCGGCCGCGAGCACTGCTGCCCGCTGCTCCACGCCTGGAATACAAATCAATTATTAGAAACCAGCAAGAAAGGAGACGATGACGCGACAGTGACGAGACGGTGACGCGACAGTGACGAGACGGTGACGCGACATTGACGAAACGGTGACACGACAGTGACGAGACGGTGACGCGACAGTGACGAAACGGTGACGCAACATTGACGAGACGGCAACGCGACACTGAAGTGAATGCGGCGCGACGCTGACGGGACGGCAACAAGTCTCCTGTGACGTAACGAAAGCGCAACGTGGATGTCATCATAATAATGTTGCGTCACACTAAGCGTGATTTCTCAAGCATTTTAAACATGATGTGGATGTCACTACTAATTAGCTCAACATAATTCATTATTAAAAGCCGGGTAAAGGGCTACAATTTTGCTCAAATTCAAGAGAAATAATTTCATATTCTACTTAACTTGACGACTTACCTGACATATCGACGCTAGCGCTGACAATGGCGGAGGATTCGTGTTGGGCCCGCTCTGGTGCACCTGCGACGAAGGGCCCAGGAGATACCGTTCCACCTGCAAAACGATAAACATTTGGCACTCGTTTTTCTTTCATTTAATTCCAATAAAAGATCTTTCCTCGACAAAATTGATCTACCACTTATACCAGTACCATAATATGATTGTGACACCAAAAAATGTTTTAGTAAATCAATAATTAAAATCTAAATTTAATAGAATTAAATTTTAATGTAAATTTAATTGTTTGCCTTGTTTTTCTTCTTCTCTTCCTGTACATTGCACCCCCCTGTTGACAACAGAGGGCCCCCGCTGAAAATCAGTTTCGAGACAAGCCCTGGCGCGGTCTTGACGTATGCTGAGCGGTGCCTTTTTGTCAGAGGGGCACAAGCAGCTATCTGTCCATTTGTGTATCTCTTTAATTATGTACCTATGTCTTGCCTGCTTGTATGTCTTTCTTTCAAATAAAAACTATTCTATTCAAAGAATCCCACAAAGCTTACCTTCGACAATTTCAACTCCTGCGTCTCCCCATTATCATTCCCCGCTTCTAGATCCTCGTAATGTATCTGCTCCATTATCCTCCGCTTTTTATCCGGCGGCGCGTCGGGTTTGGTCTCCGCAGCGCGTTTCTCAACTCCGTTGCCGACGACGCCGTTCTCCGTTTTGTTGTTGTTATTTGTTGTTTTGTTACTACTACTGCTACTGTTATTACTATTATTTGTTTTATGACTAGCTTTGAGCACCTGGAATAAACATTTTATTATATTTAGACAAGTATTGGATGGGGTATTTATATAATTATGAAATAATAAATATCAGTGGTCTAGCGGTCTCTACCCATAGTACAACAAACTTTGCTTACTTTAAGACTAGATGGCGCTGCGATGTCGCAACAATCATATCAATCGATTATTTATTCTTTCATTGAATATACTGTTTGGTTTTGCAGCCTTGAAATAATAACTATCGAGAGAAAATACATGCAGCGTCCCATGCTAGCTGGCATGACTGCGTGACAATGACGTCACGACGTCGACGTCGTTAATTCTCTAACCCAGTTTCCATACTAAATGACAATTTAAGCCAGAGTTCAACTAGGGTGTAACTTTTATTAAAAAGGGGGTCATGCCCATTTTCACTATCAATCCCTAATTTTGAAGTGACCCCTATACACAACAAAATTACCCCTACTTTAATTAATTACTAATTACCCCTGTAAACAAAATTCTTGTTATTTGTTACCATAGGGAACACTTAAAAATTAGGGATTTATGGTAAAAACGGGCATAATATCCTGTTTTAGATATCGTCTGACCTTATTTACGGAACAATCTTTTGAAATGTAACCCATATTTTTTATCCGTGCCTACCTGGCATGGAAGCTAACTGCCAAGTCCCCTAAAACTGAAACTAGCATCATCAAACCCTCACCATGATGGAGTGTTGGTTGAACCGCTTGATCATGTTGCGGTGGATGGACGTGGAATCGCCCTTCGGCTCCGGCGGCTCGTCGTCCGCCAGCGGCTGCGGTTCCGTGAACGAGGGTATGTCCACCTGGAAACAATTATCGATCCATTTTTTTATTATTATTATTATTATAGCTTTTTATTCCACATTTTTACAGTTTGATTCAATTAATCTATATCTCTTGTTTGTGGCCCCACTTGGGTAAAAGCCTCCTCCATCTTTTTCCACCTTTCCCTGTCGCTGGCTATGTGCATCCAATTTTTCCCTGCCTTGTTTGTTATGTCATCGATCCATTACCACTACATAAATAGTTATTTTGGAAGCGCTGGACGCAGGCCGCTACCAATCGATCAACATGGAAAGCATTGGGAGAGGCCTATGTTCAGCAGTAGACGACCTATGAGTTATCGCTGAAATGATGAAAGTGCTATTTGGTGCTGTACAGGTGGATACTAAAACTTCGTTTCGAAATAAATAATTTGGTCCCTATTTCCTCCGCAAAGAATTCCAAATGTGTTGGAAACAGATAAAATCGGCGGTTCACGCCACAATAAATAAGCGACCGAGACGGGACCGCGACCGTTACTGGACTTAGGTTTCTATCGCCAGGGGTGTAGAGAAGGCTGAAATAACCGATAAGCAGAGGAAACAAGTGCCTGGGGGTCCCACGATTTTTACGATGAAGTGGGTTAGGGAACCCAACAACTTTTGATACAGAGCCCGTCTATGGCACGATTGGCACGCTACGCCACTGCTGTCGCCTATCTCGGTCTCGCTCACAAGAAACTTTTTTTTCTCCCATTGCGCAACTTACCGTGAGATCCAGTGTGGTGTGTTTCATGGCGGACGCAATCGCTTGGTCGTCCATTTTGGCACATTCACCGAACAGATCTTTACTCGACGATGAGGCGATGCGGTCCCTGTAAATAATTGGTCAATCACAAAGAGAATTTGTTATTTTGTCGACGTAATATGGATCCAAAAAATCTGTACCAGTGACCACTGTGGAAAGCTCGAAGAACTAGTGTTTTGGCAAAGGCTAATAGTAAAAGGTATATTACTATTGGCTAAAGGTAAGTAAACCAACCGCGCGATATGGAAATCATTGGGGGAGGCCTATGTTCAGTAGGGGATGTCCTGTGGGTGACATGATGATTATGATATTATTATTATGAGATACAGGAATTATAATTCTTAGTTCAGGCACGTATGTACTTTTACCTATTATAGTTTAATATTAGCCTATTGTAAAAACTGTCAATAAGTTATTCAATAAAGAATTTATTTATTTTATTTATTACAGTGACAACTGTCTGATATTTATAGCACAAGTTTGTTCAATTTGCGACTAGATGGCGCTGTGTAAAATGTCCAAGTACCTACATAATTTTATTTTATTTTATTTCTTACATCCACTGGGCTCATAAAGGTAGCAGGAAGGCGCTGGATGCAGGCCGCCACTATCCGGCCAGTGTGGAAATCAATGGGAGAGGCCTATGTTCAGCAGTGGACGTCCTATGGCTGAAATGATGATGACGATGACCCACTGACCTGTGGAAGTAATGCGACTGGAAGAACTTAGTCCAGAACTCGGCCTCGGTCATCTTCTTGGGCACGTAGTCGCCGTGTTTCTTGCGCACGGCGGGGTACGTCTTGAATATCGCGTCGATGACGTCCTGCGTCAGGTTGTATTTCAGGCCGTTGCAGCCGTCGGTTTGAGGTTGGATGTCAGCAAGGAACGCGCCTGACACTCCTGCGAAAGGATTTTTTATTTATTGGGTACACCAATAACAGTCACATAAAGTAGTATAGATATACAAGTAGGTATTTAGGTACATTTTTTTAACATGGTTAACACATGATGTATATATGACCTCAAGTACAGGTATACACAGAATTTCTTTTTGCAAAGTTAGGGATTTGAAGATAAATACTCTATTTTAGAGATGCCACTATAGCTTACATTTAATTTTGATAGACTTATCGATAGTCCGACTAATTGTACCTACTACTGTGGATAGAACTATAAATAAAGTAAAATATTCTACTTATTGATAAATTGAAACAGAAATGCAGCTGTAATATCCTTGATCAAGAATTACTTTTATGGTTGAAAACTCATAATCATTTAATACATATTTAAACTTGCAAAGTAAATTTTGCCTAGTAAATCAATAAGACATTACATTGTAGTCATCAACTAGCTAGCTCATTAGGACTAACCATTACTTGTTTAGACTAGTCACATTGTTTGCATTCATTAGGTAGATAAGTACTTTAACTGACGCGCGATTCTACATAGACGCGATTCTTTATTGAGTTTGCTACATCAACCACTCACGTCTCTATTTAACAATTTTATATTTTTTTTCTAATGTTACATTATGATAAATATGTATACAGCACAATATAATATTAAGATAATGAGAATTTCGCAGTGCTACTGTTACAGTTCATTTATTGTAGTGTTCAGTCGACAGCACATCAAGCTATACATTTTCGTTGTAAACTCGCCCCTATCGCAACTACGTAAGATACCGCAGTGTTTACGTTGACGTGCTGTCGACCGTACTTTCAATACTTTCAATGTAGTATAAGTTATCTATTATGTCATGCACCCCTATTATTACGCATTCATGTGAGTTTTTCGGATTCATAAGAATGGAGAGGAAAAGAGAAGCATCACAATACATTATGTTGCAATATTACGTCCACACTGCTCTGCAATGTCTTATCCCTAATTTCCCTAAAGAAAGTTATTTTCGTATTGGGGTTAAACTCAAGACACAGATTTTGAGCGTCTAACCCACTAATTACTTTCTGCTGTGTAACATATTGTTAACATAACTTACCAGCTTCCTGCTTAATGTTATTTGATTCTGTGTAGTTTTTTAATGTAGGTGTGTTCCAATATTCTTCACTATTTATCACTTTTGATATGACCAGATCCTCGTATAAATGCTTCAGGGTAGGGTGTAGGGATAATAACCTGGAACAATCATTTAGAAATTTGGTTCCTGACTATTTTATGTTTATAAGTACAAAATAGATGAATATTGCAATAATTGTGTGTTTTATTTTAAGTTTAACCCCCTTACTAATAACAAGTTACACAAGCATTGAACAGTTATTTTTAATGACATTTCCATACTAAACATCACTTTATACAAGTGTTCAAAATTACACTTTTATTAGATAACGGTGTTTGACTTTAAGATGTAAATAAAATGTATTGTGATTTATACAATATACATTAGTTTGTATTGTATCACATTTGGAATTATCTTAAAGGAAATCAAATTACAAATTGTGGTCCATATTTACATACAATATCAATGCCCCAGACAAACAAGTCAAGGCCAAAATGTCAGGACAAGTATGTAGCAATGTGACCTTCCCAGTTATTCATACTTTCATATTTACATGACCAAATGAACGCAAATTGTCGCGTTTTCGGTCCCGTCAAGATTCAAGTTTTGATTATTGATTAATATAATTCATATTAAAACTGGAGAAATAATTCACCTAAATAAAATAGTGTTATAAAGCAAAATTTGTGTCTAGAATTATGCAACATATTTTATTCAATACATTTTCAAGTCTATTTAATAGATTTGTAAATCAGTCTACATGAAAACATGTCTACACACAATTATTAAGTACATGTTATCATCCCAATCACTGAGTTAATCTGCCACTTTTTATTCCTTTTTACTACAATCATTATATCAATGTACAAATATTAACAGAATAATAAGTGGCCATTTAGCTGAATTGAAATAACTGACAAAGTATTTCTCACCTAGATTTCATTTCCAGCTCTCCATCGATTTGCCTCTTAAACTTTGGCAGCAAGTTCTGCAATAGCATCTTGACCTGGTCCCTGTCTTTGGCCTGAGCCTCCGCACCTGCCGGGTTCACGAAGTGGAACGTTGAACATGTCCCGTCGTGCAGCACTACTTGTAATTGAACTTTTGGTTTGCCAGCCGGTGATATTTTTTGTGCTGAAAATAAAAAATACACTAGCATTAAATAATATTTGTTATTTTGTATCTAATTGTGGGTATACAAATAATAAATTAGTTATGCTTTGACTTGAGTTGATGTTGTATCTTTTATTTTGTGAACATTGGTTTTATTATGCCTTTAATTAATAACAGAGTAAATTAACAACAGTCTTTAGTAATAAAATCTTAATTTTATTGGTGCGATGACAGTACGAACTAATTTGTTGTCTTGGTACACTCGCAAGTTGTGACTCATCGCCGAGCAGATTAAAGGTCTTACAAGGTGAATACTGTGTCCAAACAACAAATGGGACTGCACTGGGACTGTATTTGAGTATTATTGAGAATTGCAGTATGCAGCATAGACATTAAAATGCTGCAAATAAATACATTCACCGCTCCTTTTCACTCCACCGACACACACAGAACAACACTTTTGACAAGACACAGAACTCCACAGATACCATATAATAGAGCTACTCACTTTTAATATCAGCATATTTGTGAGATACGGCCACTGTATCCCGATTCTCCAGCATCCATGCCAATCTTTGGTTCATAACATATAATGTACCATCCCCCTTCTTAAACCGAACATGGCCCACGCTGAGCAAGACGTCCTCCGAAGACGTCGTCATCTTCTAAGCTTCAGAACAATCTATCACAAGTTTATCAGCAATCCACCAAAGTTATATTTTTTTTGTAAGTCCGAACTTGAGGTTGAAAATTTGACTCGGTGTGAATGACCCCTCGAGTCACAAAATTTAAATTTCTGGCACGTCGCAGCAAAAATATAATGTTTATCACATCAGAGAAGTGGTTTTCGAGTGTAAAAATGGGTTTAACAATTTTTTTTTCTACAAAAAGCACATCACAAGTCCATCAACCATTTGCAGTTTTGACAAACTGTCAAATTTATAGTGAGGTGAGTGAACAATCAAATTATCTGACTCAGATATACAATTGAACATAATTGAATACTCGTATGTTTTAATGCGATCATGCTATGGTTTATAACCGTTTTAGTAGCGCCACGGACTTCTTTAAAAGTCAGCACGTTTCCATGCCCTTCATGCTACGTCTTTTAAGAACATTAACTAATCACAACAAACCTTATTAAAATGTCTTCATTTTGTGCGTATCTTTACGATTACCTACCTAAAACCCTAAACTCATATTTATATTTTAAATAGAGGCCTTTGTATATTATCAAAATAGACAATAAATTTTCTTACTGTTCTAGTCTTTTAACCTAGAGTCTAGGTTAGATCTTAGACCTAAACTAAGTTTAGTAAAATCGTAGAATATACTTAAGGGGTAGCCATTTTGACAATAATAATAGCCCTACCCTACTGTAATACCTAAAGAGCGAAGAATTACATGAAACATCTTCTTCTTCTTCTTTTTTGATGATGTTGGATTTTTTTTTACATACCTATCGCAAAACCAAACAAAAAATATTTATATCTTACAAATACAACGTGGTATACCTACATAATTATTGTACAATAGCGGACGTGGCTACGTGACTCACCCTATATTAGTTTAATTATTATTTTTATGATTAAGCGGGGTCTCCAGCGTAAATTTCCGCGCGTGTTCGACTGACATTTTTTTAAGAAATTTTGTTGAATGTTGACATGTTTTTGTTTATTGTGTAGGGAAAAACATGCACTGGATTTCCGGTTTTATAATATCGAAACATACGTAACGTTATTGGTTATTTAGAAATGGTGTTTAACGGTATAATAATAACGGGTAATGTGAATGCACCCATTAACAACCGCCATTTTTTTTATTTTAATCTGGCAGCATTGAACATTGACAATCCAAAATGCAATCATGGCGCACGGGGCACTGTGTTTTTAGAATGCTGAGAAGTTTTTACGTAAACACTTCATTATTTTGCATTGTAACTTAATTTTCTGTTTGTATAAATTATCTGTGACTTTCAAAGACTGTAGTGAAGCATACATGTGCGTTCCAAGCTTTAGGTTTCCACCTGTTCGCAGTCACGTCTCTGCACCACTAGACACTTGCAAGTATGAAAATCATGAGATTCACTGTTTCAGCTATGCTATAGTTTGTAACGTGACGTTGGTCCTCGCTAAACGCGGTCAATGTGCTGAAGCAGGTCTTTTCAGTTCATTTTGTGGTATTGTTTAGTTGTAATTGTTTGAATTTCGTTTGTTCCAGATAAGTTTGTTGGTGTCATAATGTCAGAGGCGTTCGCCCGAGATATACTACGGAGGAATGTTGCGCAAATATGCCAAACTATAGGATGGAACGGTATAAACTCAACGCCACTGGACATTTTGGTGCATGTGCTGGAAAAGTATATTAGGTCACTTGGCACTCAGGCTAGCAGATACGCCGAACAATTTAATAGGACTGAACCAAATTTACATGACTTAGGATTAGTATTTCGTGACCTACACGTGCAGTTGCCCGAGCTAGTAGAGTACACAAGGTGTGTGCCGCCCGTTCCGGCCCCGGTGGGTGTGGAAAAGTTCCCAAAACCCAAGGACTCAAACTTGAACTTTCTCAAACCCGGCAGCCATGAAGTCGTCACAAGGCCAATGCATGTGCATGAGCATCTCCCTCCCATGTATCCTGAGAAGGAACGGGACACACCGGCGGTGGCTGGCACTGTGGAGATCCGACAAAACGGCCTTGACAACGGTGACAGTAACGCCACATGCACAAGCCCAGAGATATCTGTCACGGACAGTCCAGAGAAACCTAAAGACATATTCAAGAGACCAATCGATCCCGTTTCACTGCCAAACAGCAAAAGGCCGAGGTTACGTCTGGATGAGGAGGAGCGGACCAGAGAGATCAGTAGTGTAATGATGACCATGTCGGGCTTCCTGTCCCCCGCCAGAGAGGGGAAGCTGCCGGAAGCCCGACCCCCAACAGTCGTATCAGAAAAACATTACGACAAACACAAAGCGAACTCACATCATTCTAATCCTATGAAAGTACCAATGTTAGACAAAAGTGATAAGAAATCTAAGAAAAATAAATTATTGAATGGTAAAATTATGAAGAGTAAAAGAAAAGATAAGAGTCATAAAGGTGAGAGTAGTAAATCTAAGGATAGTAGTAAATTGAGTAAGTATCCCCCGGGATATCCCGTGCCGCATAAGAGTAAGGACGTGCACGCGCAGCCCACACACAACCACGTGAGCGCGGCGCCGCGCCCGCCCGCGCCGCCGCCCCGGCCGCCGCCGCCGCACGTGCCGGTCCCGGAACCCAAGCCCGTCATCAAGCAGGAGCCTCCCGACCTGCCGCCGCAGCCATCCGTCGCCCCCAAGCATCCCGTTCCCACGGAGGACTCCATTCCGGTTCCGAGGAAAATTCCAATCCACAAATCACCGCTGGTTGCGAATTCCATACCTGTACATAAACAGTCTTCCACGAACTCCCTCATACCGGATGTAGAAATTAAGAAAGAGGTCATCGATGAGGAGGAAAAACTGGCTTCTCAACCGGACAGATCAAAAGTTAATATATTTAAAAGAATATCGAACAAATCAAAAGAAGATAAAAACGCTCCAGAGGTTGTTTCTGATAAGTTGCAGTCTGATAGTTTGATCTCAAGGTTGCAGAACTCGACTCATGTGAATTCAGTCGAAAGGCACGCCCACGAAAACGTCAGAGTGAAACATGAAGAACCCGTTGTTAATAATAATGATAATAGTGCACTAGATTATTCTAAAGTGATGGATTTAAGAACTAATGAAGTTATAAGTATCGACGATGATTCCATGGACACGCATACAACACAACAATCCAGGCCCGCTCCCCACGCGGAGCCGCGGCCGAGTATATCGGTTAATAAGTCTTTGCAAGTACCATATCCCAAAGATGTAGCTAGTGTTAGTCCAAAAATAAAGAAGGAGAAAAAACATAAAGATAAAAAAGATAAAGCCGCCAAATTGGAGGCGAAACTGTTGAAGAAACAGCAACAGGCACTGGCGTTCGAAATGGCGCAGGCTGAGAGGCAATCGATGAAACTGAGCACGAAATCGCCGAAAAATCGGAAGAACGACGCGAAGGTGCCGCAGATGCCGCCGGGATTCCCGTTCTTCCACGGCTTGACGCCCGGGAGAGGTCTCATGCCCGGTCCCGGGTTAATACCGAATCCGGGACTCATACCGGGCGGGGAATTCCTCGCGGGTCTCGCCAATAACCCTGCGTTAAGAGGCCTGCCGAACCCGAACCTGCTCACGAATCCGTTCGCGCTCGGCGCAGCGGGCCCGGGGCTGATACCGGGGCCGAGTTTCCTCCACGCGTCCGGGCTGTCCAACCCTCTGATGAACATGGGCAACTTCCCCCACACGTCGAGATCGATGAAAATACCTCAGATGCTCCGTCGGCCGAGCCTCGAGGTGATCCCCGTCGACAACGACGACGACCGGGGGCTGCACAAGTCGCCCATGTCGCGCGACAAGGAGCGCCACGACAAGCACAAATCTCCGACCATTCCGAACATTCTGCAGAAACACAAGTCCAAGTCGAGCAAAGACCACAAGGCGATATACAAAATGCCTCCCGTCCAGCCGGACATCACGATAGAGCTGAACCCGCCCAAGACGGAGCCGCCGCGCGAGCCGCCGCGTCCGCGCCTGCCCACGCCGCAGCCCGCGCCGCCGCCACCTGAGCCCGATATAAAGCCGGTCGAGCTCGCGCCCGAAAGCGCCGACCCCGAGAGGAAGAAGGACAAATCCCACAAAAAAGATAAAAAGGACCGGGACGGCATCAAAATAAAAAAGAAAAAGGACAAGAAAGACAAGAGCAAAGACAAGAAGCTGAAGCAGGAGGTGAAGGAGAAGATCAAAAAGGAGAAAAGAGATAAAAAGAAGGAGCGCGCGGGCGACGGGCTCGTGCCCAAGCTCACGCTCAAGCTCGCCTCGTCCGACTCCAGCTCGCCCATGCCGCCCAGCTCGCCCGACGTGTACAAGCTCAACATCAAGCCCGTGGTCAAGCGCGAGGAAACCGCCAGTCCGCCGCGCGAGCGCTCGCACAGCCGCTCGCCCGAGCTGGCGCAGATCTCGGCGCTGGTCACGCGCCCGCCCAAGCCCAAGCCCGCGCCCAACCACGAGCCCGAGGACGCGTCGCCGCCGCCCGCCGCCTCGCCGCCGCGCCGCAACCGCCCGCCGTCGGCCTCCAAGTACAAGCGCATCCTGTTCAAGCCGCTGAAGGCGGAGGACGAGGCGGAGGCGCCGGCGCCGGACGGCCCGCTGCCGACGCCGTACTACGTGGACGAGCAGGGCAACAAGGTGTGGGTGTGCCCCGCGTGCGGGCGGCCCGACAACGGCTCGCCGATGATCGGCTGCGACGGCTGCGACGGCTGGTACCACTGGGTGTGCGTGGGCATCACGGAGGAGCCGGGCGCGACGGAGGACTGGTTCTGCGCGGGCTGCCTGGCCAAGCGCGCGGGCCCGGTCGCGCGACGCCGCGGCCGCAAGCCGAAGCCCGAGCGCCATTGATGGATGCCGCCCCGCCGCGGGGCCGCGCTCTTGTTGACCGTTTAGTTGTTGAATGAATGAAACGAATGAGACGTTTTCGCCGTTTACGTTACACTGTCGTAGGCTAGGTTAAGCGTAGATAATGATATTGAATATTGACATAAAATGTTGAACATGAGTAGCGTAGTCGCCTGTATGATTACCGTAATTACCATAATTTTAGATGTTTTGTTACGATTCTTCTTATTTGTCGTTCGCTCGGTTAGATCAAGATCCGCGGGCGTGTTATACACTACTCGCGAGTAAACATAGAGAATAATATTGTAAGATTCTTTTTATATTGTACAAAAACTGAATTTACTTAAGAAATTGGTGATGTATAAAGTTAAATGTAGTGCATATTTAAATAAACAGAAGGGCCGGATGTATTTTCGGTCGATATTTGAATATTTTCATAT